GCAGCCGAGGTCTTGCACGGCCCTACTTCCCACGGCCCTTCCCCAAAGCCCAGACGCAAGCCCCGCTTCCGATTTTAGCGGCAGGGTCCACACGCTCCGCATCCCCAGGGACTCACCGTAGAAAGTCAGCTGTCCCCGCGCCACGTTCTTCCCTCGGGAGTTCTCGGCCACGCACTCGTATAAGCCCGCGTCCTCCTGCTGGAAGTTGGGGATCTCCAGGATCCCGTCCGACTGGTGTCTCCTGGCTTTCCTCGCTATGGGCTTCCCGTCCGCCCGCCTCCAGACGATCGTGGGGACTGGACTGGGGGTGAGAACAGAAAGCGGCGAATGAGCTGAGAGAAGACGGGACCGTCCATTGCATCCTGAGCTCCCAACAACCTCTTCCTTCTCGGGTCTGCCCCGGAGAGCCCCCTGACGTCACACACACACATGCAGGCACCACTGTTAGGACGTTACCCATCGCCACATTGCTCATGTTACCATGGACTTTGTGTTCCTATTAGAATAAAAAGCTTTCCTAGCCCGGCTGGTGTGGCTCAGTGGTTGAGCACTGACCTATGAACCAGGAGGTCACAGCTCGATTCCCGGTCAGGGCACATCCAGGGTTGCAGGCTCTATCCCCAGTGGGGGGCGTGCGGGAGGCAGCAGATCCATGATTCTCTCTCATCCTGATGTTTCTATCCCTCCTCTCTCTCCCTTCCTCTCTGAAGTCAGATGGGTCACGGCATTGCTCTGCACCACACTAGGCACCGCTGTAGCGCACGCCATCCTGAGAAACATGGACACGGAAAGAACCCTCCATGGGACCCGAAACCAAAGCTGCAAGGGAACTACTTCCTGTGTGGCGGCTGGAGGGGCAGCTGCACGCGAGTGGAGACCGTAGCGGACATGGGGGTCGGGCCACAGTCGCCTCAGCGGACGTCTGGGCACAGGGGAGCCTGGGGTGTGAGCCAGGGGTTAGCGGGCACATGGGTGGGAGGAGAGAGCCACGCATGGTTAACATGCAGAGACGGCCTGAGGCTGTGTCCGACGGCAATTCTGATCGTTACGGCAATTCTGATCGTTACGGCAAACCTGGCCTGCAGGGCGGCTGGCACCATCGCGCCCACCTTCCCTCGCCTGTGCCCTCGACAGAACCGCCCGGGGCCGCTCCCTGGTCCCCACGCTGCTGGGCCAGCGATCCTGGGCAGGCCTGGGAAGGGTGTGGGTCACTTCCAGGTGGCTCTGGGAGATAGTGTCCTGGAGAGATCGGTCTCATCTGCCTCTATGCGAGCGGCAGGCAGGGACTGGCAACTTAAAAAGAAATTCAAGGGAATGTGGTGCCTCGTCGGGAAACGGGGGCCGGAATGGAGTCTCCAGGTTCACCCTCCAGGGAAGGCCCGTGTCGCCTGTCATTCAGGCGGTAAATGTGGGAGCACACCTCTCAGAACTGCCCCTTCCCCTCCTCCTGGCCACGTCAGCGTGGCGGCCTGACCCTCCCCGGCCACCCCAGGTCCCCTCTCTGCGGTGAGGGGGTGCATTTGCCGAATGACAGCCACCCCTCCCCAGGGCGAGGAGGCCTCCAGGAGCTGGAGGACACGGAGGGACCAGGACTCACTTGCCCAGCGCGAAGCACTCCAGCCTAGCCGTGCCTCCTTTGGCGGTCGGCACCGTGTCCGGGAATTGCACTTCGATTTTGGGCTCATACTCGCCCATCACCCCTGTGGACAAAGACCAGGCACTGAGTCTCGGAGGGCTTGTAAAACTCGCGCGAGCGTTTCCCACGTAATGTCCGCAGCTCCCACGCGGGCGCCACGGGGCACAGCTGGCCCCTCATTGGAGGCAGGTCTCATCGGACGCAGCAGAAAACGCGACACAGAGCCCACCGCCTGCCAGGACTCAGTTCTCCATGCTTCCCATGTCACTCGCAGAAATAGTTGTTGTTATTGTTTTTTTTTTTTTTTTTTAGTCATGAAAAAAATACAGAGGAAAGGGATAGAGTCTTAGTCACCGGGAACATCAAAGGCATTTTTGGGAAACACATTGCAGAAAATTTTGAATACTTAACAAAACACCCCCCTCTGGATTATGTCTCTATAAGCAACATCATTTGAGTAATCAATCTGTGGCCACTGATTACTTTCTCTTTCACGTCCAAGCTAATGTGAATGAACCCTAAATTACAATAGGCAGGAAAACGAGTGCCTCCAATGCCAGGATTTTTATCCTGAAACAGCGTAAAAAGTAGAATAATGCCTGGCCTGTGTGGCTCAGTGGTTGAGGATTGACCTATGAACCCGGAGGTCACGGTTTGATTCCTGGTCAGGGCACATGCCTGGGTTGTCGATCCCCAGTAGGGGGGATGCAGGAGACAGCTGATCAATAATCCTCTCTCATCATTGATGTTTCTCCCTCTCTCCCTCTCCCATCCTCTCTGAAATCAATACAAATATATTAAAAACATAGAAGAATAGGATTGAGTCCCAACCTGGGCATGCTCCCTGACCGGGCCTTGAACTGCAGACGTGTTTGTGCATGTCACCAAGGCTTCTTGTGAGGTCACTGGCTAAAGACAACACTTTTCTAAAACGAAAGGGGCAGGCGGTTATGCGGTCACGTGGGGCGGGCTCGGGTGGCTATGCCTGTAGGTGTCTGGGGCAGAGTTATCAGCAATCATGCAGTTTGGTCTGCATTTACAACACCGGTTGCAGGACGGGGGGACAGGGATCAGAGACGGAGAGCACAGTTTTCACTGTCTACAGGATGCTCATTAACATAGAGATTGTCGCTATTTATTAGAGCCATGAACGTGGGGGAAAGCCATTCTCCTCGCCCGTGCTGTGCACAGTTTCAGGAACACCTGTGAACGGGTCCATTTAATTGGGTTACATCTGGCACAGGCTATGTTTTTATTCGACTGTTTCTTCCAGTTTACCTCTTTTGGCCTTTATTCTCCACACTGAATTGGGAACGCTGTTGCCTTTTAAATCATTTTTAAGAAACAGAGGCCCCTCACACAGGAGCATGTTCTCCAGGTCCCTCCTCCGGCCACTTGCACACGCAGGGACGCAATTGTCTGCAGCTGCGCTGGCGACGTGCAGAGTAGGAGGAACGGGAGCGAGGCCGTGGATGGGATTGTTCCAGAACGCCTTCTCCACCTCGAGCTGCTCACAGAGAGGAGCGGGTGTGAGCCGTGCTGAGGCCACGCACCAACGCGAAGCAGCAAAGCGCCCGTGATACGGTCAGGATGGCCCGGGGGACAGACTCAGTGACACCCCTTCCGTCTGCAGGATCTGGGTCGTCTGCCTGTACGGACAACTCGCGCTTTTACTTCTAAAGACACCTTGCTGGGTCTGAGCCCCTCGGCTAGGGATGGGCCTCAGTGGATGCCGGGAACTAGCGGAAGATGTGAGCGGCCGCAGGCAGTTGGGAGAGGTTATACTGCACACACAGCAGCCACTGCGCACACAGCAGCACGGCGCACCCAGCAGCCACTGCCCGCCCAGCAGCCACTGCCCGCCCAGCAGCCACTGCCCGCCCAGCAGCCACTGCCCGCCCAGCAGCCACTGCCCGCCCAGCAGCCACTGCCCGCCCAGCAGCCACTGCCCGCCCAGCAGCCACTGCCCGCCCAGCAGCCACTGCCCGCCCAGCAGCCACTGCCCGCCCAGCAGCCACTGCCCGCCCAGCAGCCACTGCCCGCCCAGCAGCCACTGCCCGCCCAGCAGCCACTGCCCGCCCAGCAGCCACTGCCCGCCCAGCAGCCACTGCCCGCCCAGCAGCCACTGCCCGCCCAGCAGCCACTGCCCGCCCAGCAGCCACTGCCCGCCCAGCAGCCACTGCCCGCCCAGCAGCCACTGCCCGCCCAGCAGCCACTGCCCGCCCAGCAGCCACTGCCCGCCCAGCAGCCACTGCCCGCCCAGCAGCCACTGCCCGCCCAGCAGCCACTGCCCGCCCAGCAGCCACTGCCCGCCCAGCAGCCACTGCCCGCCCAGCAGCCACTGCCCGCCCAGCAGCCACTGCCCGCCCAGCAGCCACTGCCCGCCCAGCAGCCACTGCCCGCCCAGCAGCCACTGCCCGCCCAGCAGCCACTGCCCGCCCAGCAGCCACTGCCCGCCCAGCAGCCACTGCCCGCCCAGCAGCCACTGCCCGCCCAGCAGCCACTGCCCGCCCAGCAGCCACTGCCCGCCCAGCAGCCACTGCCCGCCCAGCAGCCACTGCCCGCCCAGCAGCCACTGCCCGCCCAGCAGCCACTGCCCGCCCAGCAGCCACTGCCCGCCCAGCAGCCACTGCCCGCCCAGCAGCCACTGCCCGCCCAGCAGCCACTGCCCGCCCAGCAGCCACTGCCCGCCCAGCAGCCACTGCCCGCCCAGCAGCCACTGCCCGCCCAGCAGCCACTGCCCGCCCAGCAGCCACTGCCCGCCCAGCAGCCACTGCCCGCCCAGCAGCCACTGCCCGCCCAGCAGCCACTGCCCGCCCAGCAGCCACTGCCCGCCCAGCAGCCACTGCCCGCCCAGCAGCCACTGCCCGCCCAGCAGCCACTGCCCGCCCAGCAGCCACTGCCCGCCCAGCAGCCACTGCCCGCCCAGCAGCCACTGCCCGCCCAGCAGCCACTGCCCGCCCAGCAGCCACTGCCCGCCCAGCAGCCACTGCCCGCCCAGCAGCCACTGCCCGCCCAGCAGCCACTGCCCGCCCAGCAGCCACTGCCCGCCCAGCAGCCACTGCCCGCCCAGCAGCCACTGCCCGCCCAGCAGCCACTGCCCGCCCAGCAGCCACTGCCCGCCCAGCAGCCACTGCCCGCCCAGCAGCCACTGCCCGCCCAGCAGCCACTGCCCGCCCAGCAGCCACTGCCCGCCCAGCAGCCACTGCCCGCCCAGCAGCCACTGCCCGCCCAGCAGCCACTGCCCGCCCAGCAGCCACTGCCCGCCCAGCAGCCACTGCCCGCCCAGCAGCCACTGCCCGCCCAGCAGCCACTGCCCGCCCAGCAGCCACTGCCCGCCCAGCAGCCACTGCCCGCCCAGCAGCCACTGCCCGCCCAGCAGCCACTGCCCGCCCAGCAGCCACTGCCCGCCCAGCAGCCACTGCCCGCCCAGCAGCCACTGCCCGCCCAGCAGCCACTGCCCGCCCAGCAGCCACTGCCCGCCCAGCAGCCACTGCCCGCCCAGCAGCCACTGCCCGCCCAGCAGCCACTGCCCGCCCAGCAGCCACTGCCCGCCCAGCAGCCACTGCCCGCCCAGCAGCCACTGCCCGCCCAGCAGCCACTGCCCGCCCAGCAGCCACTGCCCGCCCAGCAGCCACTGCCCGCCCAGCAGCCACTGCCCGCCCAGCAGCCACTGCCCGCCCAGCAGCCACTGCCCGCCCAGCAGCCACTGCCCGCCCAGCAGCCACTGCCCGCCCAGCAGCCACTGCCCGCCCAGCAGCCACTGCCCGCCCAGCAGCCACTGCCCGCCCAGCAGCCACTGCCCGCCCAGCAGCCACTGCCCGCCCAGCAGCCACTGCCCGCCCAGCAGCCACTGCCCGCCCAGCAGCCACTGCCCGCCCAGCAGCCACTGCCCGCCCAGCAGCCACTGCCCGCCCAGCAGCCACTGCCCGCCCAGCAGCCACTGCCCGCCCAGCAGCCACTGCCCGCCCAGCAGCCACTGCCCGCCCAGCAGCCACTGCCCGCCCAGCAGCCACTGCCCGCCCAGCAGCCACTGCCCGCCCAGCAGCCACTGCCCGCCCAGCAGCCACTGCCCGCCCAGCAGCCACTGCCCGCCCAGCAGCCACTGCCCGCCCAGCAGCCACTGCCCGCCCAGCAGCCACTGCCCGCCCAGCAGCCACTGCCCGCCCAGCAGCCACTGCCCGCCCAGCAGCCACTGCCCGCCCAGCAGCCACTGCCCGCCCAGCAGCCACTGCCCGCCCAGCAGCCACTGCCCGCCCAGCAGCCACTGCCCGCCCAGCAGCCACTGCCCGCCCAGCAGCCACTGCCCGCCCAGCAGCCACTGCCCGCCCAGCAGCCACTGCCCGCCCAGCAGCCACTGCCCGCCCAGCAGCCACTGCCCGCCCAGCAGCCACTGCCCGCCCAGCAGCCACTGCCCGCCCAGCAGCCACTGCCCGCCCAGCAGCCACTGCCCGCCCAGCAGCCACTGCCCGCCCAGCAGCCACTGCCCGCCCAGCAGCCACTGCCCGCCCAGCAGCCACTGCCCGCCCAGCAGCCACTGCCCGCCCAGCAGCCACTGCCCGCCCAGCAGCCACTGCCCGCCCAGCAGCCACTGCCCGCCCAGCAGCCACTGCCCGCCCAGCAGCCACTGCCCGCCCAGCAGCCACTGCCCGCCCAGCAGCCACTGCCCGCCCAGCAGCCACTGCCCGCCCAGCAGCCACTGCCCGCCCAGCAGCCACTGCCCGCCCAGCAGCCACTGCCCGCCCAGCAGCCACTGCCCGCCCAGCAGCCACTGCCCGCCCAGCAGCCACTGCCCGCCCAGCAGCCACTGCCCGCCCAGCAGCCACTGCCCGCCCAGCAGCCACTGCCCGCCCAGCAGCCACTGCCCGCCCAGCAGCCACTGCCCGCCCAGCAGCCACTGCCCGCCCAGCAGCCACTGCCCGCCCAGCAGCCACTGCCCGCCCAGCAGCCACTGCCCGCCCAGCAGCCACTGCCCGCCCAGCAGCCACTGCCCGCCCAGCAGCCACTGCCCGCCCAGCAGCCACTGCCCGCCCAGCAGCCACTGCCCGCCCAGCAGCCACTGCC